ACAACCGGAAGTTACAACATGCTTACCGCAATAGTGGTCCGTGTAGAAACAATTCGTGGAGCCAGTGTGTCCACCCCTGTGACCTGACCATTGAACTGACAAGTATGTTTCCCACCATGCCATGGAATATGATGGGAAATTGAGCATGTGCACATTCTGGTAAACATCACTTAACTTACACTTGGGATATTATCCAATTGAAATTACAGACATCATTTACTTTATTGTTATTAAATGAAATAGTTATTTCCATAGAGGAAATTGTACATCATCACAATCGGAATGATTAACTACCCTGGTTCGATGCAGTCTGCCAATACTGCTGCAGTAAATGTTGAAATAAGCAGTCCACTACAGTTATTTATTAATGGAGCTCCAGAGAGCCCTTTGCTCTGGCTTTAATAAAACTAAGTTATTCATGTCTCCTGATGAAAAACTGAGGAGCCTTTGCTGACATTTCATTTCCCATGAGTCATTCCGTTTAATGAAACCGTCCTATTGAGTTCAATTTGCACCTTAATTTAATAATAATCAGATTCCGACTTGTCATATTTGCTCACATTTTTTAAATCGGTGTGATATTAAATAGTTTTGGCAGACTTTAAAGCTGGTGAAATGCCCGTTTTACAAATCTTTTATATTTTTTCATTTCCAAATGGGTCTACTAAGTACTAAAAGGAAAAGTGCCATCCGCATATTTTTGCAGGTACTCAAGATGAAATGTTCTCTGAGAAGCAATTAATGCCACCAACTCAGCCAAATGCTTTGAGCAGACATTCAGACACACCTCTGCAGTGCCATAGCAACTGACCTGTTGCAGCACTTCCATACCTAATGTATTACAAATGAATTTGTCCTAGTATAAAGCATGTAGAGAAATCCATTATAGCTTACAGAGTCCTATATAATTATTGTATTATTTTCACTTGGAGTAAATACTATGAACAATTAGAAAAATCATGTCAAAGACCCTATTAAAGACATTTGTGTCATTATTGTACCTGTGTGGGGAAACATTGTACAATATGTTAATGTGATTTGATGCTGGAGTCTGTCACACTGTCCGTTTTGATACCACCACTGGCGTGTTTTTGTGTTATATATTTTGTATATATTTCCACCTCTTAAGAGAGTGTAAAAGTATACCTATATTGAGACACAGCACTGGTGCCTACAATACCCTCAATACAACTTGAAATGGCAGATTAGGCTAGTGGTGCTAGAAGTGAAGAATTTAGACTCTGGGGGCACTATCAAGAAGGGACAGCAGCGGGCTACAGAGGTGGGTTAACCCCCAAACCAGCACCACTTACTGCAGCAAGAAGCTAGCCACGGACAACTTCACAAGAGAAGCAACAAGTTAGCACCGAGGTAATCGCATTTTTTTGGTTGCGTTTCCACTTAGCATAGTACCGGCTAGCGGGTACTATTTCCAGATTTTCTGGCCCCATAAAATCGAGGTTCTTTCCAGGCCAACAACCAGGGCTGAGTATGCTAAACTAGTGACGTCAACACTGTCGACTGGTCAGAGAGAATCGTCACAATCGTTGCGCGTGAGATAATCCCTAGCGTCGCATATATCTAGCGAAGCTCTTTAGTTCATCCTTACTGTTGTTCTGTTTATACATTGTATTCTTATATCCTTGTGTGACCTGTACCTGTCCTGTGTTTTTCATTCTTATTGCTAATTCTTATTGCTATAATCATCTTATTGTCACTGTTACGTCCCATCCCTCTACCAAGCGGTAGTGGCTCGTGTGAAGACCCGCAACATAAAAACAACCACGCCAAACACAGAATTTAGTTATCGACGGGCATTTATTTTCAGCACAGCCGTAACTCACATGCATGCCTACCGGCAATAAGGAACCAAGTCTGGAGGATCGTAAAACAAACAAAAAAAGAAGAAGGGGGCCTGGGCCAGCCACACCATGAGCCGTAGGACGCAGACTTCCCTCCTCTACCCAAAGGTCCAAACACAGCCTACTGGGAAGGAAACAAAGCTGCGAAAAACCTA